TATATATATATATATATATATATATATATATATATATACATACACACACATATATATGTGTGTGTGTGTGTGTGTGTGTGTGTGCAACATATATGTGAAGTTCCCACATCATGACAGACAAGTGTAAATTATAAATTGATGCAACAAACAACCAAAGAAAAATAGGCTTTTGCAGGTGTCCTTATTGGATTTCATTGGCTGTGTTGTTCTTTTTGCAGGTGATGTGCCAGTGGGTAGAAGATCTGAGAAAGGAGCTTTGTACATTTTGGCTCAATTCTTTTCCTGTATTTTTTAATTTTATGGAGGTCATTGTGGTTGGAGTTGTGGGAGCAACTTTAATCATAAAAGTATTAAAAGTGTTTTGTCCCTCATGTGACACCAGGTAAGCATCTTTTATTTACTTTTTTTAATCCTATAAAACAAATTTCCTTGGGTGATAGAAGTTCCATATAATCTATTTATTCAAGCTAGGCTAGTTAAATTGATAAACAAAACTTATCCACAGTTTTTATAGCCTGTTAAGGAACTAACGTACCCCACCTGAGGTCTTGATTTGATGACCTTAGAAAACCAATCAGTTAAATTATAAATATTAATTATTAATGGGAAATCATCACCAGAGGATTCAAAAAGTGAGGATGCTCAATGGATTTCTCTCTCATTTTTCTGCCTCCGGCAAGAGCTCTACTTAAAGCATGCCCACTAAGTGGGAAGGGAAAGAAAGATACTCCTGTCTGGTTCCTCTCCATCCCTATAAAAGCAGCATCAGATAAAGACGAAATGCTTTAGTTGAAAGAATTGATTTTGCTCTTCCAATAATTATGAACAGGACCCAGATACACAGCAATAGTCCAGAGGAGTCCTTCTCCATGCCCCATAGGTCTCATCCCTACCTTTCCATACACATTTCAACATAATTGGCATTGGAAGAAATGAGGAACACTAGCGTCCACAGATTAGCAATTAGCTCAGAGACAGACAGGTCAGGTTTTGGAGCCTCAGAAAAGCTCTGAAAGATTTATGGTAAACCATCCTGAAAGCTATCAGTATCTCCTAGTTGCTCAGACTTAGGGGGCCAATTAACATTGCCATTAGCATTCCTCTCATGGTTTTGAAATGGTTGAAGGAGTCCTACCTGTGGAAGGTCCATTCACAATGCCACTCGCTCATATATTATTATACATAGGTGAGTAATGGATGCTTTCTTTAGAAATACTTTGTGGCAAGTACCAGATTGCACACTAGAAAAAAAGATGAAATAAATGAAGAAAAGGTAAACCCTAGCACCAGTTCTCATAAATCAGGGGCGTTAAACTCAAGACCCGGGGGCCATATCTGGGCTGCAGGGTGCTTAGATATGACCCACGGGGCTGCCCTAGAAACAGTAAAGGATCGGCCTGCAAAAACGGAGCTCAGGGGGCATGCATGCCCCCCCCCATCGAGCTTTATTTTCACTGGCAGAGGGCGGCAGGAGGCTATCATGGATGAAAACGGAGCTCAGGAGCCCATGTTCGCTGGCAGAACGCTTGGACCACCATAGACGCCCCTGACACGAGTGACGTCAAGCTGGCCATGCCCACCCAGCTCCCCAGGTCAAACACAACCCTGGCGTGGCCCTCAATGGAATCAAGTTTGACATCCCTGTCATAAGTCATTTAGATGAAAATGTTAGTCCGCTGGGAGTTCTGATAATGGAGGAAACAAGTGAATGAAAATGTTTTTTTTCTAGATAACATTCATCCTGATAATTCTTTGAAACAGGATTTAATTACATTTTGCAGTATATAAAGGCCATTTTCAGAAACCAATGATCTGGTTTTAGAGGCTGAAACACTTTTCCTTAGTTGTTTTAACTGTGAAGTTGAAATGTTTATATATAATCATATTTCTGAAGTTAGTATTTTAACCGATTTCCTCCCCCCCACCAGGGGAATCCTTCAACTTGATGCCAGTGTCATACCTGTGGCTGCAATAAGTTTACTTCCAGCAATTCCAGAGAAGATAAACTATGTAGAAGAAAAATGTATTTAAAAAACATGGGTACTGTAATTATTTCAGTTTGTTGACCTAATGAACTTAGCACTTGGATCTTAATATATTACTTAATTCAGCCTTCCGAATGTACTGCCCGAATGACTTTGGGACTACAACTCCCAGTATTCATAAATAATTGCAGTTCTGACATATCTAGAGGACTCTAATGTGGGAACTGTTGATTTCACAGCAGTTCTCACCCTGCTGTTTTTATTACATTTATGAACGATTCATATTTAAAGGGCATATTAAGGCTGACACCCAGAATTTTTGGATTTTTTTCATTTCAACCATTATGTTTTCTTGACTGGAAAAAAAGCAGTTTCCTTACATAAGGACTTCAGTAAGTTCTACGTTCTGTGAAGTAATTTCCTGCTCCCTGAAATGATATCTTCCTTGTATCTTCCCAACTATACTGGCTGCAGGACACGCAAGGCTAATCCAGGAAATTTGACTCAAGACTAATGGAACAGATTAGCATCAACAGCAGCATAGACCTGTGATAATATTAAAAGCTATTTTAGGCCTTTTAAGCGTGCCTTATGGGGGAAGTCAAAAGCAAAAGAGTTTCATACTGCTCTGACAGTAAACATTGGTGCAATTTTTGTTTGGATTTTCCAAAAATAATCTTCATATTGTAAGCACTTTCAGGGTCTTTCGTACTGAATTTATGAACATTTGTAAAAATGTGCTTCTTAAACACTTACAATACACACTACAAATGTTGTTTATCCAGGAGTACAAAATGTCTAAAAGTACTGTATAAATCGAGAGCATTTTTATATACCAATTTATAAGATCATTAGATCTTATTGCAAATTTGCATCTTGTGATTAAACTGGAGACCATGTAGTGTTCTTTTTTTTCAAATTTGAAGAGGGAGCAAATCTGGATCCAGTCCATTGCATTTGCCAAGTACTCTTATGATGTTCTAGTTGTAGATAAATATTAAGTAGGATCTTGTGGCTTCAACTGTCCATAATGTTTGGGTATGACTATATTAACAAACAATTTGTTTCAACTGAGTTATAAGTCGCTGTTTCTCATTTATAAAAATGCATAATTGGTCTTTGAAAATGCTGATCAGGAAATACTGTAGAGCTCATGTTTCCTTTCCTGTGTGTGTGAACACTTATGTTAATTGATGTTTTGGTGAATGCTGAAATAAGGTGTTTCAAGTTGTTAGCACATTTGCTAAATGAGAGGCACAGTCCATTGATGTTCATCATTCCAAAACTAAATTTACCTAGGATATTTTTTAAGTTTTCCTGATTGCTAACAACGCAGGCATTTATTTCAACAGCAACCAAGAATATTGAAATAACATTGTAGAAGAACATCACCAAGAATATTGCAGTTGCTGCATCATACTAGGCTGCCTTAGTGGTACATTTCAATGGAAGGCACATCAGAAAGGCAAATGGAACTATTGTGTGCTTTGGAATTGAATAACTTGTGGATGCAATATATCCAACTGCTTTAAAACTGTTCTAGAAGACATTTTAGTTCAACCAATTGTTGATAGTCCCAATGGCAACACTGAAAAAGGTGAGCACAGAATCTCAAATAAAGGCTGTCATCCATTAGTTAAAAAAATGTGAAAGCTATTTAAATAGTTGATGTCACTGCTGAAGCACTACAGCCAGGTAGTGGTGATATATTAGATTGTGTATAATACTAAAATAGGAAATAATAGATACTTTTTTTTTAAAAAAAGAGCCTTTTTCCTAGGGTTGAGAGAAAGAGGGATGGGCCCAGTTAACAACTGGTTTTGCACCTAAGGCAGAACTAGAATCCATGGTTTCAAGCCCAGTGCCTTTAACCACTACATGAATCTGTTGCTTAACCATATGTTCTGACAAGACCAAGGTATTACAACTAATGATTCTCTGGCAACTATCAACTTTGATAGAGCTCAGCTTGAGCAACTTAGGTAATTTAAGTAAGTTGTCCAAGAACAGAAAATTGTTGCCACAGTTGATATCAGTCATCAAATCAGCCAGACTGCCTCAGCTTTCAATGTGCCGTTGTCCTGGTGAAAAAGCCAAAATGCAATTCATGTAATAGTGACAATGTTGCTGTATATGGTGCAGAATCTTGCTTCAAATGAATTTGAATTTTTTTTTAAGTTTTCCAAATGCAGTGTCTACCATTTCTATTGTTGTATATTAGGAACTTCAGTTTATGACAAAAGGTTACATGAAACAGATGTTGCAACCAGCCCATGATAACTGGTTCTGGAGCATTGGATGCAATCATTTGGGCACATCTGCATAAGTTAACGCCCACTTTATTATTATTCTGAAAATCATGCTGTGGTTTTGAATAGTACATGATCAGCTCTTGAAGAAATTTGGCTGGAGCATGTGGAAGTTCTAACAAAACTCAAGACTCGATAAAAGCAAAATAGCTGGGCCACAGCAAAAAATTTGGAGGAATGTGCTGTGATATCAGCAGACACAGAGCACGTAAGCCAAGTACTAGTTAAGCTATAAGTTACCAGATGGGAGTTCAGGACTTGAAGCAAGCAAGATGAGTAATATAAAGCATTTAGGTAAACATTCTGAAAAATTGAAAACTTCGAAAGTTTTTTTTAAAAAAATATAATATTAGTTGGGCAGATGGAAGATCTATAGCAGAGTTCCCAACTCTGTGCACTGTTAGGAACTGGGCTTACAATACAATACAATAGCAGAGTTGGAAGGGACCTTGGAGGTCTTCTAGTCCAACCCCCTGCCTAGGCAAGAAACCTTATACAGTTCCAGACAAATGGCTATCCAACATCATCTCAAAGACTTCCAGTGTTGGGGCATTCACAACTTCTGCATAGCTGGAGGTGAGTGGTGGGCAATAAAACCAAAACCATCACCACCACTCTAGTCTGTGGAAAAACTGTTTTTTTGTGAAACTGGTCCCTAGTGCCAAAAAAATTGGGGACTGCTTATCTACAGTACTTACTTCAAATGTCTTATTTTCTGTATGGGACATATACCCCTCAAGCAGCTTTAAGTTTGAAAACAGCTGTCACTGTGCTCTTGTGCAATTCCTGTTCAAATAAATCTATCACCCTAACTTTGTCAAAGTCCCATTGATGGACTGACTTGCATATATGTTTGTTCTTTTTAAAGTCATATACATTCTGGCAGTAAATTTTCCTAGTTTATACTTCCAACCACTACTCCTGTTTGTTTGTCTGAATGATTCCCAGGTTACATTTTATGAGGTAGAATTTACTTCTTTTCATTATAAAGGAAAAGGGAACAAACCTCCAAGGTATCTTTTCTTTCTGAGAAGCATTTCACAGTGTTCGTCATTTAGATTTCTGTTTGAAACCATGAAATAGAATACATAAGCTTCAAGTGATCTGGTGCCATTTTCCTGAAAAGTGTCTTCTGGTCTTTTATCATGTTCTTGCCTCTGCCTTTTAGCCATGCTGGGACCTTCTTCATCCAGCTAGTGCCTCTATTAAGCTGTGGTATTGTTTCGTAATCTCGAAGAGATTTAAAATTCCTGCTTCTCCTGGTACAATTTCCCCTTAACAAATCTCTTGGAAAATTAATGGAATTTATTTTTTGCATTGGATTTTATTTACATTGGGTTTAATAATGCTTTTCTTAACTGATTGAACACTAAGTTTCACTAAGGGTTAATCTAGTGCCCTCTCTTCTCTGTTCAGTTCCACCACATTAAATGTGAGATATGTATTGAATCAGTGTTAAGTTCTAATTGTGAATTAGCTTTAAAATACTTGTTTTGTGATCTCTAAATATGACAAAAAGCATTTACCTTTATAGAAAAAGAGGAACAACTTTTTCTATGATAAAGAAGTGTAAAGACAAGATTTTTTTTGCACAGAAGGCTATGTGTACTACTTTCCTGAAAAAATAGAACTGTAAATTTTAACAGTGACTACTTTTAAAAATATAACCAACAAAATGTAAATATGTGTTATATGTGCAAATGTTGCAAATGATAGTCTATAGTGTACCAGGAAACAGAACAAGTATGGCTGCAAGAACCTATTCTCATCTAGACAATTGGACTAAGAGGGAAAAATGAGCTGCATTTAAAAAAAGTAACTTTATCATATATGGTTGTTACAAAAAGTTAAAAAATAGCAGTGAGCACCCAGGAGTACTACTTTTTCATTACTTTTGGAACTCTTTGAATACTTAAGGCAGATTTCTCAAGGTAGAAAGGCTTAACATGATCCAAATTCAAAAATCCATTTCTCGTATTTTTCAATGTCCACAGCAGAGACTGATTTTGAAACTTTTTTTAAGGCCATTTCAAAATCTTCCATTGTTGTTGGCATGTGCATTTCATCTCTGGAAAGATTTCTGATTTCTTCTGGCGTCAAGCCTTCAATACGCCTTCTCATAGCCATCAGTGAAGCATCTCTGTTGATAAAAAAAAGTGTCTTTAATGAGAATGCAGAAATGCCAAACAATTAACACCAAAAAGCTGCTTTAGCCATAATTAAACCTTCAATGCTTGGTTATTTATTATTTCCACTTAAAATCTACCCAATCCAGAGTGGCTTAAAAACAAGACAACAACAAACTCACAATCCAGATAAAAACTTACCAATAAACAGATGGCAGAGCCAGGCAACACAACATATCACATACATGACAAAGGCTTCCAATCACCTAGCCCAAAGCCTGGGCGAGAACACCCCGCCCCCCAAAGCCTTCTGAAATGCAATTAAGGTGGGAATCACCCAAATCTCAGGGAACCTCATTCCAGATGACAGGTGCCATGACAGACCTTAAACGTCAAATCAAGCCTGAAGTGGAAAAAGGAACTCTAATCTGGCCTGTCTATATCATCACGTTAAGTCACAATGTTACTTGATCATGCTGGCTAGGGAATTCTGGGAGTTGAAATCTATACATCTTAAAGGTGCCACAGTTGGGAAACACAGGTTTAGTATAAAATATACATGAATTGTTTCAGTATGGCTTAATCAATCAAAATCAAACAAGTTTTTTTAAAATCTTATCCTCTTTTTTTAATACTTTCTTTAGATCTTTTACAGTACCAGTATTTGTACTGTAACTGGGAGTTCTTTTCCATGGTATAAGATTAGAGCTGGTGATTTCAAAATAAAATATAAATAAAAGAATTAATAAAATAATAAAATAAAAGCTGTGAAGTTTTAACATACCTGCACACATTGGTAATGTCAGCTCCAGAATAACCTTCCATATTCTGTGCAATTGTGACAAGGTCAACATCAGCAGCAAGTTCCAACTCCTGTAGATTTATTCTGAGCAGCTCCTCTCTGCCTTTGGCTTAACAAACAAAAGTAACCAAAATGAAACAGAAAAAGCATCCTTTAACCCTTGAATAACATGGTTAAAATTGTTTCAATTATATAATTCCTATCTTTAAACATAACCACCCAAATATACTTACCGTATTTTTTGGACTATAAGACGTACCGGTGTATAAGACGCACCATGATTTTGAAAAGGTAAGTAAGGAAAAAAAGTTTTTGTCTTCCATGGCCCAGAGGAGCACTCTGCAGGCTTCAGCAGGGCTGGGGTAAGGCAAAAGCATCTTTTTTTTCACCATAACGGCATTTTTCCCTTTCCCCTGTCCTGCTGAAGCCTGCAGAGTGTTTCTGGGGGGTTGGGGGAAGGCAAAACACCACCATTTGCTGAAATACGGCCCATTTTTCACCAAAACGGGAGCATTTCCCCCTTCCCCCAGCGCTACTGAAGTGTGCAGTGTGTTTCTGGAGGGCTGGGGAGGCAAAAACACCCCCGTTTTGGTGAAAAACGGGCAGTTTTTTGCCCATTTTTCACAAAAATGAGATGCAGGGGCGGACTTCGGGAGGCAAAACATGGCTGTATTCGCCGTGTATAAGATGCACCAACATTTCCACGCTCTTGGGGGGGGGGGGAAAGTGTTTCTTATACTCCGAAAAATATGGATGTTTGTTGTTCTAGGTTCTTAACCTGCTGCTTAAGACTTTGCATGTGAATGTAAGGGTATACTAAGGGGATATTTTGTCTAAACTATACCTGGAAATACTTATAATCAAAATCATTGTTCCTGCCTCCTAGAAATGGCAATGGTCAAATATGCATTTGATATTAAAAAATGATGTGCCAACTATATTGGATTTTTTTTTAAATGGAAGAGTTTATACCTGATGGCAAAGGAATATAAATTCTTTTTTCCAAGCGACGTCGTAATGCTTCATCAATATCCCATGGAAAATTAGTAGCAGCAAGTACCATCACCATTTTGGAAGGATCATCATTTTCAGAAGCACCTCCCACTCCTATTATTAGAAGATAAGAAATAAAATAAAATAAAAGGCAATACAAACTAATATATGTACAAGAGTGCAAGTTAGGAAGTTATGTCATATTACATTCAAGCTGAATTTTAATCACCCACTTTCATGGAAACGCATGAATTTTAATTCAAATGCTTTATACCAATATGAGTATTCAATTGCTTATAATTTGCAATAATATTAGATAAGTATGTAATTACAGATACCATCCCTATTATTCAAGTGCAAGTAAGACAAAGCTATTGCAAACCATTTAGGCATACTAGTGTGAAAACATCTGAGAAATTCTGATTTCTGGATTTGTGTTTTGTTTTTTTGCTGGACAGATACCTCACTATATCAGTGGTGGGATTCAATTTTTTTTACTATTGATTCTGTGATTGTCTCTTGGTGGGCATGGCAGGGGAAGAATACTGTAAAATCTTCAACCCCCCCCCCCCCCTTCCAGGGGAAGGTTACTGCAAAATCCCCATTTCCTCCCAATCAGCTGGGACTCGGGAGGCAGAGAATAGATGGGGGTGGGGCCAGTAAGAGGTGGTATTTGCTAGTTCTCTGAACTATCTGTTCTCCAGAACTGGTCAGAACCTGCTGAATGCCACTTGTGCAGTATATGCCCCTTACACATTTGATTTGCTCATACAATTTCTACTGATGCCATTTCAATCCAATTAACTCGTTTCCAACCTTTTATAAGTGTGATTTTACAAGAGAGAATTTGAAAAATCCATGTGTAAATTCTAATACTAGAGTCAATCAAGTTGCAGATGTTATTTCAAACATTCAAATAACAGGCAATCAAATTTATTTACAAAATCTGAAAAGTTCTAATTTAACAATTTAAATTAGAATATGTGGCATTTCCTTGCTAAGCCTCTTTTCAGTTTTGCTCATAAATTCTTCTACTGTATTTATATTTGTCTGTTTTATTAATCTATGTTCTGATCCAAGAAAAAGATATACTTGAATTCTAAATAATGAAAATTAAAGTATACAAATAGGCCATTTATCCATAAATGGAACCAACTAGAATTGGAGGGTAGAAGGTGGCCTGAGCAGAAACATCTCAGACTGAAAGTTGAAATCAACTTATTACTGAGTTACTTGGAATAACAACAAAGCACACATTTAAATGGATTTTAATTTCTTAGTGAGCAATGCATAATGCTCAACTGCTATTATAATACTGAAAGTTCTACTTTTTTTCTTAATATACTTTCAACTAAGCTTGTTTACCATCCATCTGAACAAGTAATTCAGCCTTCACCCTTCGGCTCGCTTCATGTTCCTCAGAAGTTCCTCGACGGCTACAGATCGAGTCAATTTCATCAATAAATATTGTTGTTGGTGCATAGAACCGAGCCTGGAAATAGAAGTGAATGGTGAAGGAATATTTAACTAAAATGATTCCAACAAACTACTCCTGTTCCAAAACAATATTATTTACAGTAGTGTTACCAGTAAATCGATTCTGGAATGATTTTCAGTACAAAAGGCTGATCTCTTTTATCCACTGCAATCCCAACCTAGATTACTCTCCCTCTGACGCATTTTGACTTCAAACAGTGTGACAAGGAACATGTACCATGTAAAAACTACAATTAGGGTTATGTGTAATTTGGCTTGGAATCTTCTAAGTAACAAACTATACTATTATAATACTATCATAATAATAGATGTATATGATACACTAGCACAATGGAATAAATTAATACAAGGCAAAATAAATTTCCAAAATGTTAACTTCTACTACAGATAGCCTCAAATTACAATTGGGATTGGAATCTTGGTCACTGAATTAAATGGTCATTAAACAAGATCTTGTGTGACTGTTCAATGACCAGAATCTGGAACTCCTCATTGTCGTTACTAATCAGCTGGGTTGTTAGGTGGATTGAGTAAAAGAGCTGCCAACCAGAGATATTCAGGTTGGTATGGAGCTGAAATCCTCTGAAACGCAGCTCTTTCAGCCATCTCCCAGGGATGAGAGGGAGTCCTATTGGCAAGCAGCAGCTGCAATGTTCTAGATTTGTTTGGGAAGAGGACCTTGAAAAAACATAGGAATGCAAGCACAGCATCTTATTAAATCAGCTGTCCATTGGGCTGGCATAGTAGGAAACTATTTAATCTTCTAGTAAATTTGTATTTTATAACTGATCACACTCAATCTGATGACTATTTTGTGAATAATTTATAGTTTGTGAGCGCAATTGCATGAATTTAAAATTCTAAATATGCCCTGGTTCACAAACTTTGCATATTCTGTTATGTGGTAGTATCCTCTCCAACGGCAAAAACACACAAGCTGCGTGACTTTGAGCCAATCACTTTCTGTCAGCCCAACCCATTATACAGGCTTCTTGTTGTGGGTAAAAAAGTTGGAAGGCATATTAGGCATGGAGCCAGGATAAAAATATATTAACCCTACTAATAGTATTCCTGTATGAAATTTTAGAGAAATCAGTGAATCACCATTTCAAATAATAGGCGAACAAGCTTTTCAGATTCTCCTCTGTATTTTGAAGTGAGTGTTGATGATGATACATTGAAAAAGGTAGTTTTGCATTCAGTTGCTACAGCTTTTGCAAGCAGTGTTTTTCCAGTGCCAGGAGGACCAACCATCAATACACCCTGTTTACAAAGAGATCCAGAAAACAGTACTGAAAAGAATATTCATTTAAAAAATACAATTCATTTGCCATCACAATTTAAGAAATACTATATAATTTCATTTTAAATAAGCATTTTAAATAAAAGCAAAGGAAACTAGTGTGCGTTTAGTACCTTTTAGCAAGTAGCAACTTTTGTTTAATTTTCCATGTTGCACTAAATTAAATTTTATTCCATTGTGGACCAATGTTATGATACAATTCCAGAACCAAAAGGTTGTCAGAACATAATCAAAATGAAAGGAATTCTAATTGTTAAAGGGCATTATATCACCAGACACTGTTTTACTTACATAGAAAATGACAAGTGAAAAACTCTAGCCATAGGGTAATGACTTTGCACCTTTAGATTATATAAATTTATTTTAATATTATATAAGCAAAATACTTTATATGGTTTGTATTATTCTGCTGTAAAACCCTTGCACTATGTATTTGTACAGGTGTCAAGATTCCATAATTGAAATCTGAACTCTAGCTTATGTTATTTGTATTATGTTTCCACTTAGTGCTTGAGCAATCATTAATGGGACTGCATAGCCTCAATTTTTTTCACCCTGGCTTAACACTGAATACAACCCAATGAAAACTATTTTGATGTTACCACAATAATTGAGTCGACTTTTACCTTCCATGGCCTTCTGATTCCTTTAAAAAAATCTGGCATCCACATGGGTAAAACTACTGCCTCCTTGAGTAATTTTTTAGCATCCACTAAATCAGCTATATCATCCCTGATAAAAAAAAGAAACGAGCAGATTATGACTTGCCACAAGCACTGCATCCCTATTACATTTCACTGTAATCTTGGCTGAATACATGATTTTTCAGAGTAGTATATTAATATTTTCTATTCAAATTCACTCCATAGGAAAGATTCAATATTCAATTCATTTACAATTTTTATTTTAGAATTCCATCTTTTTCAGGTGTTACAAAACCCAGAATGTTCATCACTTGAATACTCACTTCCATCCCATGGCTGACATCTTTCACTTGCAGACATTCATGGATTGAGTGTGAGTGTGTGTGTGTGTGTGTGTGTACATACATATATTAAGGATCATTTTCTGCAGATGATATCTGAACAATGACAGAAGGCGGACCTATTACTACACCCACAAAATAAGCTGCTATTTGTTCACTGAAAATTGTTCAGTTCAGTACTTTATTATAGTCACATGAGATGGAAATAAATAAAATAGTATAGTTTAATGTCGGTTCATGTTATTTAATAACTATAATAACCAATGTTAGCATTCTTGGCCAAGGTATATGAAATAAAAAGCTTATAAACCTTTGCTTATAGTTTCAGACTATCCTAAGCACATACAGGACTGCAGCTATTTATTTTTTTTACCATTTGCCAAATAAGAATAGTATAGTGTCTTTCCATTAAAACACCACTCAATTCTGATGATGAACTTCCCCTCTTTCAGCAAGAAAATAACTAAGGATAGGTATGTGGACTGATTAATGTGTTTTTTTCTCAACAGTAGATTATTATGAATGCATCTGTAATGTTGTTCTACAGGTGAAACTCGTGCAAAAGTTCATTTATTTCAGTAATGCAACTTAAAAGGTGAAACTAATATATGAGATAGATTCATTACATGCAAAGCAAGATAATTCAAGCCGTGATTTGTCATAATTCTGATGATTATGGCGTACAGCTCATGAAAGCCCCAAATCCACCATCTCAGAAAATTAGAATATTACATTCAATCAATAAAAC